CCTGTAAAATGGGACTTGATGGTCTCTGGGTTCCTTCCAACCCTAAGTCTACAATCCTATGATATTGTGATTGTTGGGGTGAGTGGTGGGGGTGAGTGAGGGTCATCCACATTCTTATTTTGTTCCATATTAGTCAGTCAGGGTCAGCAAGCGTTGACTGAGAGCCTACTATGTTTCAGGCACTGCACCAAGCTCTGGAGATACAAGGAAAGACAAAAGCCAGTCCCTGCCCTTCTGGAGCTCCCAGTCTAATGAAGGAGAAGCCGAGACTAGATGATTAGCTCATTCAGGGGGAAAGCAAATGAATACAAACACTTGGGGAAACACATTATCTCCATCCCTCCCTCTCCAAACATAGACTATGGCACAAAGACGTGGCTGTCCACTACAAGGGGACAAACAGGGGTGTGTGTGTGTGTGTGTGTGCGTGCATGTGTGTGCATTGGTGCATGGGTATGTGTGTGTGTGCGCGTGTAAAACTACAGCAGGCAGGATTGAAGTCAAACAACCACAAGCATCAGAAGATTGGAGGTAAAAGAGGACGGGAGCCCTAGGGCTCTGGTCCCGGTGATTCAGGACGCATCCTATCTTATGCTATGCCCTTTGTGGCACTGAACATAAAGTCAGGAGACCTGGGTTCAAATCTTGCCTCAGGCGTTTACCAACTATGTGACCTGGGGCAAGTCACTGTAAAATGAGGGCTCCATGTCTGAGATCCTTCAGGATCTTGCCTTTGAATCTGTGATGGGAGGTGGAGGTGGGGGTGGGGTGGGGGGACAGGCCACAGACATTGCCCTTGCCTGGTCCCCCCGCCAGCAAAGCAACCAGACTGCCCCCCTTCTTTCTTTTAGAGGGGAGGAAGTGAAAAAAAACCTCGGAAAGTTACAAAGGGAACCAAGACTTCAGCAGGTTCCCCTCTCTCTGCCCCTGAGGCTCTCTTGGGGCCTCCTGGGGAGCCTAGCTTCTCCTCCACCTTCCTACAGGAAAGTCCATCAGCAGACACGGGGAAGAGTATTTCTTGGCTCACTCTGAAGGCCAGGACGTCCTTCCTACCATCTAACCTGGCATCTCTGCTGTGGGGAGAGAGCTCTCTGACCTCTCCTGGAGGACACAGAGACCATTTGGGAAGGGGGGGGGTTGAGGAAGAGAAAAGGGAAATGTCTATAGCAATGAAAACAAAGAACAGAAAATGAAACAGGAGAGAAGTCAAGCCCAGAGGGTGCCCAGCCTTGTGGCTTGGCCCCTTGGTTAAAGGTAACCCTAACCATCTCCCCTTCCTCGGGTGAGTTTGGGGCCCGAGGGGCACCCCGCACTCTCCTCCCGGGTAGTCTCCCTATCCTTAGCCCAGCAAAGCCCAGGAGAGCAGCCTGCAGGGATGAGGAAAGCTCTAATAATTCAGAGCCTTGGATAATTCAAATCCCCAGAAAGTACCAAAGACTCACTTTCTTTGGCTTTTTCCCCAATTCACTGGATGATACAAAGGACTTTTTCAGTCTTTTCCCCACTGTGTTAGGCGAGGTGAGGATCTGCCTCCTGCAAAGCTAAGGCATAGCCCAGAATAGAAGAAATGTAGCAACTGTTGGCAGAATGAGACTGGATCTGTCCAGGTCCTGAAGCACTCCATGTGATAAACAACCCTTGGAGGGATAGGAGTCAAGGATCTATCCATTCTAAAAGACAGAATGTCTGTTTTCATCGTGGTTTCCAAAGCACCTGTTCCAGTGCCTGGGAATGAACAATACGCACTTAATAACTACCTATTAGATAGAGTACAATAGAATCCTGAAGCAAACTTCTGGGGCATGGAATTTGGGGACCTAGTGGTCTATAAAATAGGATCCTAGTGCACAGAGCAAAGGGCGAGGGGTTCCCAAACCTGGATTCTCAGTCCTGGTCTCAATCAAGTCCCAAGCAAGAAACAAAACTAAAAGTTTAACCTGTTCTGGGGCAGGAGGAACCTCTTTAAAAAGCTGGATGGAAGGGCAGCTAGGTGGCACAGTGGATAGAGCATTGGCCTTGGATTCAGGAAGACCCGAGTTCAAATCTGGCCTCAGACACATAACAGTGAGTAGCTGTGTGACCCTGGGCAAGTCACTTAACCCCATTGCCTAGCCAAAAAAAAAAAAAAAAAGTAAAAGTGTGAAAAAAAAGCTAGATGGAGGATAAAACTATTGGTTGACAAGAAGTAGAATTGAGAATGTCACTGATTGATTTCACAGCATTCTGATAAGCATTTAATGACTCAGTTTCACTTGAAAAAATTTATTAGCAAATAAAGTTTCTTCATGAAAAATTCATCCATTTCATTCTTTTGCACATATGCATGGGGAACTCCAGAATTAATTTCCTTTCAATTGAATAGGGAGGACAGGGAAGGTGTACTGAAAACCAAGGGTTATAAGGATTGAAAAAAAGTTTGAGAACCTGTCTTCTAGGTTCCTGTGCTGCAGACCAGGGACCAGCAAATTTTTGGGGAGGGGACCAGCACATTGCTGACCGAGGTCAAATGAGGCCAGCCATAGGTGGCAGCTGGATTGCTCTAAATTCCTGTGTTCTAGGGGACCATGTGCTAGAACTCTACACTTAAGAAGTCCAGGTTCTAGACTTCATCAGGCTAGAAGTCTATGCTCTAGACCCCTGTGCTCTAAGAATGAATAAAATGCTAGGATCCCATGTTCTATAATTCTATCTGGAGAGAAATCCCATTCTATAATGATGAGTTTCCTGGGGGCAAGAAAGGCATGATGAAGATGGGCAGGAGGTGTTATTCCATCACCTGTTTCCTTCACATTTTTCAGAGGCACTAGAGCCCCCAACTCCCTCCCCCTACCCCCTACTGGTGTCCAAGTCACACTTTTTGTCACTAACACAATTACTTGGGAAATATCTCCACAAGATAATATAGTTATATACCAAATATTCCATGTACTTCTGAGGATATTCCCACCCTGGGTTGGGAACCTTTATTCTAGAATAATGGTTTCTAGAACATTCATTCATAGAATTCTAGAACACAGGAGATTAGATCATCACCAGAGAACATATAATCCTAGAATATGGAATTATCATAGAACCCTAGAGGTTAGAGGCTTGAGGGGAAAGGATGGGGTGGCAGTAAGATGAATGAGAAACCATCTAGAGGTGGTTGGTCAAAGAGAGAGCTGTGACCAGAGGTCCCCTCCAGCCTGAGCTGGGGTGGTACCTAGAGCCCCCAAGGACTGAACTGTCAATGGGGCCAAGTCCCACAAAGGGGACCCCTATAGAGGCTAGCCTTTAAAAAAAGTGAAAAACCTTGCTTCTGATTTGCATATCCCTAAACAGGCTTCTAGGGAACAGATCACCCACTTATAGCCAGTGTTTTTGCCCAAAAATGTTCCAGAAATGCCATCAACACTTTCCCCCAAATGCCAGCTTCCTCATTTCTATTTAAGAACCCATCAAATGGGTTCAAACTTCAGCTTGGGCACACAATGCCTGTCTGACTTTGGACAAGTCACTTCCCTCTCTATAAAATGAGAGGGTTGGGCTGGATGGTGGCCTCTGGGGTCCCTTTCAGCCCTAAAACTATGATCCTATAAGCCTTCATTAAATGTCTTCTCTGTGCCAGGGTCTAGGACTACCAGCATGAATAAAAGAAGCTCAGAACTTCAGGCTACAAAGCAGCCTTAGAGATCATGGAGTCCATTTTACAGATAGAGAAACTGAGGTCAAGAGAATGGTTTGCCAAGCATCATTACATTAGCAAAGATAGGATTTGAATCCTGGTCTTCTAACTTGAAATTCCATGTTCTGCCCACTGTACCTTGCAATAGTAATAACAATTAATCAGCAATAATAACTAATACAATAGATGTTCCCTTTTCTATGGCTGACATTAAAGTCAACAAAGCATTTTCCTAACCAATGCCCTATGATTAAGTATGTACATACTACACTTACATACCTAGGGACTTGTAGTCTGTACCCATGATATAGACATTCCATGCTCCAAGGCTCCCTCCAACTCTGATATTCCATGTTCTCAAATCCCTCCCCACTCCCAGCACTGATATTCCCTATTCTAAGGTCCCTGGCATTATAGGATTCTAAGCAGATTGAAGTAATAATTTAATAATAATAATAATAATGGTTAACATGTATGTGGTGCATATAGATTTACAAAAACCTCTTTATATTTTATCTCATTTTATTCTCATAACATCCCTATGAGGTAGGTGTCATAACTCCATTTTACAAAGAAACTGAGACTCAGAGAAGTTAAGGGGCTTACCTAGAGTCACACAGAGAGTAAATATCTGAGGAAGGATTTGAACTCAGTCTTCCTCACTCCAAGTACAGTTCTCCATTGTGCCATTTACCTGCTTCAGAGGTTAGAGAGGGAAGCTTGACTGACCTAATCTCTCCATTCCCCCAAGTTTCTCTCAAACTGTGGCCAGGTGGTCTGTGTATTTTAATCACAGTATAACTGTAAAGGGACGTAGGTGGAACCACAGTGAATAAAGCTCTGGTCCCAGAATCAGGAAGTCCTGAATTCAAATCCAGTCTCACATTTACTAGCTCACTTCACCGCTATCTGCCTCAGTTTCCTCATCTGAAAAATGGGGATAATAATAACACCTACCTCCCAGGGTTGTTATATGAATCAAATGAGATAATATTTGTAAAGTGCTTTGCACACCTGAAAGCATTCTATAATTGCTACCTATTATTAAAGGGCCTACTATCAGGCAGGGGTAGCTGCAGAGGAGAGAAAAGGGAAGATCTTGGCCTTGAGTAGGGAGCCTCTTTCCTATGCCCTTGGAGGAAGGAGGCTGTGGCTTACCACTGAGTCATTCTGAGTCACTGGCCCACCCTGTATTTCCCCCCTCTAGATACTAGGTCTGTGATGCTGAGCTACCATGGGGTGCACAGTGGTGCCTTGGCTAGGTGACTTCACTGGCATGCCTCGTGCCAGGCATGGGGGAGGGAGGGAGAGAGAACTCAGAACACAATCTGGCCAATTGCATTTTTCAATAAAAACAAACTCTTTATTGAAGTCTCAAACTCTAATGGCGAACTGGCTACAAATAACTCTCATTGCACATATTTAAAAAGAATCGCATTTCACACTGTGAACCCTTTACACATCACTTCAAGATTTACGCATTTCCCTCCTCAACATTCCTGTTTGGTAGGCAAGGGTATGATATCATAGAATCACAGAAGCCAGAGCTGGTTGTGGCCACCGCCGTCTGCTAGACCTGCCTGTGATGGAGCTGAAGGAGTTCATCTGGCATCTACCTGAAGAGACCATTCGGGATAGGTATAAAATATAAAGGAATACAAACAGCTAGGTACCAATTAAGCACTTTCAATCCTGATGGATTTTGGCTTAATCCACTCATTTTCCTTGTTTCGTTTAAAGGAGAAGCCCGTCTCTTTCTCAATTACGGGAGTGCAGAAGTCTCTACTCTCATCCCACCTCACCCCATCCCAGGGCTTCGGGACATCTTTGCTGCCAAAAGCTCTTACCTATTTATCTGTGACTTATTAGAGAAAAGCTATTGATTAGCTTCCTTGAGAATCTTAGTAAATTCTTGGTTTGCCTCTTCTAGCTATAATATGCATGTATATATGTATGCAAGTAGAGAGGAGAGACAGACAGAGACAAATAGAGAAAGGTACACAGAGAGACAGAGACAGAGACAAAGAGAGGAGAGAGACTCCCCCCTAATTGGAGACTCTTTGCATAACAGTCCTTTTGAGAGAAGGATTCTGGGAGATCTGTGTCAGACTACAGAGCCATGAATCCCTGGCTTCCAAGCAAGTTAAGGGGTTTTGTTGGGGACCTGACCCACTTTTCCTGCCTAACTCCCTGCGCTTGGAAACCAACCTCAAATAGCTTATTACCTTGTCGCAAGCATCTCACTCGCTCGGCTACTTTGTAAAAGTGGGCTGACATTTTTTTCTCTCCCTGAGAACAATTGGAACCATGGGTGAACCCAGCTGAACTTCCTGAAACAGACCTCAACTGTTGCTTCCTTACAATTCCAAGGTGACCACAATTGCTTCCCAGACTTGTCTTTGGCTGGGGGCTGCCTGGGGCCATCTTGCCTCAGGAAATGAATGAAGGGAAGACTTTCTAGCATTGCAGGATTTTGAGCTGGAAATGGACCTTGGGGATCACCAAGGTCACAGTGAAGGGAGCTGAAGGGAGAGAGAAGGGAATTTTCCAAAGGTCATGTGGGGAGTTCGAGGCATTCATGGGACTCAAATTCCCTGTTATGTAACAAGTATAGAACGGACTAGAGGGAGCAAAGATCATAATCCTAGAGCTCATTTTACAAAGGAGGGAACTGAGGCAATGAGAGATCACCCAGGTCACCAGTGGCAGAGCCAGGATTCAGACTCAGAAATAGGCCCCCTTTCCATTGCACCCCACTGTTCCCCAGGTCAAAGGGCCAAGGTGAGCAGCAGAGATAGAACATGAAGGTAAATCAGGAAAGTGGGGTGAAAGGTCAGAGTCAAAGGGCCCTAAGTGGGGGTGCCCTGACCATTGTCCTTGGGTCCCCTTCCTTGGGCATAGAGGAAATCTTCGGAGCACCCAGACCTCCCTTGAAAGCATTTTTGCGGCAGGGCTGGCTGACTGCCAGGGCTTAGGGCAGGGTTGTCAGGGAGAAGGGCTTGGAAGACAGCCCAGGAAGGATCATCCACTTGGAACTGGGAGGAACTTTACAAGGATCTAGGCACACACACTCCCTTCATTTTACCTAGGGGGAAACTAAGGAGGAAAAGAGAAGGCCAACATTCTACAACTATTGAGTAGCAACATTTGAACCCAGAGCTTGAAGGCCCATTACACTGTGCCATCTCTGTGGGAGCCTACAGAGACGCCATCTCTGGAAGTAGACCTGGGAGGCAGGAGGTCCACAGACCCCCCGGGGAAGGGTGCTCTTAGTCCTTTGGAAGGAAAGGAAGAGGGGGTTCCCAAGCCCCGGTGGAGCAGGTGGAGGGGCTGGAGCCAGCCCTTTCCTAGCCGGGTTCTTTCACTACAGCTCTGTGGTGGTGGTCTTGGTGGTGACAAGCTCCATGGCCCCCAGCTCCGTGGCGGGCACCGGGAAGCTGTGGCCGGGCGCTGAGCTGGGCTCAGGAGCACCATCACACTCCTGAAAGGGATGCTGGTCCTGGGCTTCACCCAAGCTGCTGTTCTGGGTCTGCACAGCTTTAGGTTCTTGGTGGGGGGGGGGGTCGAGCCCTGGGGGGGGGGGGGGGGGAAGGGGGGTGGGGAGGGGAGGAGGAGGGGGGGGGGAGATCAAGCCCTGGAGGGGGAGGTAAGAGCTGATGAGGGGTGGGAAGGTGGGGGACAGACTAGGGTCTGTAACCTGGCTTCCCTCCTCCTCCCCCATTCTCCCTTCCCTTCTTCCCTTCTCCACCCCAGTCCCTAAGCTTCCCATTCCTACCCCACAGGGTTTCTGCCCCACTCCCCAGTCCTAGGCACCTCCTCCTTGTTGTGTCACTGGCTCAGCTGACAGCCAAGAGTGGAGACAGCCAGGAGCTTGGAAAGAGTGCCAGAACTGGGAAGTCAGTGGACCTGCGTTCAAGTCTCCTCTGGGGGCCCTGGTTTCTTCGTCTTTAAAACAAAGACAAGATGGACCAAAAGGAGTCTGAGCTTCCTTCTGGCTCCAGACCGAGGAGCCCCAGGCTTCTCGAGCCCAGCTGTGTCCTCAGGTATTGGGGAAGTCACAACCTCTGGGAGTTTCCTCCTCTGTGAATTGAAGGGGCTTAGAGACAATGTCTGAGGTTCCTTCCAGCTCCCGCCCTGTGACTCTAGGCTGATCCCTGAGAGGCCCCTACAGGCAGGGAGAGAGCTGGGAAGCAGACCTCCCCGGGAGCTCCCAGACGACCAGGCTGACCCATCAATCAGGGCATCCGGACCTGGAGGGAGCCTTAGAAGTCATTGATTCCATGTCCCATCTTGCCCAAAGACCCAAGGCTCCCAGAGACTGGGGGATGGAGCTCCAAGGAGTATATTCTATTTTAGGATCCTATAGACAGAGCTAGAATGAACCTCAGAGGATGTGGAGTCCACCTCCTTATTTTTACAGATTAGGAAACTGAGGCCCGGGGAGGTGATGTGATTTTAAGGTTTCCCCGCATCAGAGATGAGATTTGAACTCGGGTCCTCTGACTTCGGAGCCAGTTCCCTCTATGCTATTACCCAGTCTCTCTTGGCTTGTCTCAGTCTAGGGCTGTAACTGACAGAAGGGACCAGCCCAAGAGAGTTGCGCCCTCCTGCAGCGTGGTGTCACTCACCCAGGGCTAGCTCCCTACTGGGGCAAGCCTCTTCGTCAGCAGGGGCCCTCTCCAGCCGTCTCTGCAGCAGGCACACCAGTAGGCCATACAGCATGGCCAGCACCAGCGCCAGCCCTATGGGGATCCCAAGGAGGAAGTATGGGCCTGGAAACATCCTGAGGATTGAAGTCATTGACGTATTGGACACTTGGGTCATCAGTGTGACTGTCTCTGAGGAGCTGGAGATGTTGTCTGGGGACAAAAAGAGGCAGAGACCCAGAAACTGAGATGGTCAAAGGTGACCGAGGCTGAGGGAGATAGAGGAAGACAGGAACTGAGAGCTAAAGAGACAGACAGAGACAGAGGCAGAAAGAGAAGACAGAGAGAAAGACAGAGACACACAAAAAGACAGGGAGATAGATAGATGGAGAGACAGAGGTATAGAAAGAGGCGAAGACAGAGATAGAAAGAAAAATAGAGAGACAGAGAGGAAGGGAAAGAGCCAGAAAGAAAGAAGAAGACAGAGACAAAAACAGAGAGAAAGGGAAAGAAAGAAATGGGCAAGAATGAAGGAGAGATAAAGAGAAAGCAATAGAGGGACAGAGACAGAAAAAGATGATAACAAAAAGAAATGGGGATAAAAAAGATACAGGGAGACAGATGTAAATAAAGGAAAAGAGAAATATGAAGAGAAAAAGAGAGAGAAACAGAAGAGGAGAGAGAGAGCGAGACAGAGAGAAACAGAGGAAGAGGAGGGGAGGAGAAAGAGAAGGATGAAGGGAAAGAGAGGAGAGAGAGACAGAGACAGAGAGGGTTTTATGATCTTATAAGATAGAGAGAAAAAAGAGAGACAGGACAAAAAAGACAGAGATAGGGTTACAATGAGACAGAGAGAGACAGAAAGAGAAAGAGAAGCAGAGGGATAGGGACAGAAAGTCGTGGATGGAGGATGAGCTGACCCCTTTCCCCAGCCCCATACCGGAACAGGCTGCTTTGTTCCAGGAGACGTCTGGGAGGAGGCAGGGCGATGATCCGTTAGGGATGCTATAGAGGGGACTCCTGCCTGAGGGGACGTTGAACTAGATAGCCCCCAAAGTCCCTGCTCACTTCAAGGATCTATGATGACAGTGGGGGTGAGGCAGAGAGAGAAGGAGGAGGAAGAAGAGAGGGAGAAAGTGAAGAAGAGAGGGAGAAAATAAAGAAGAAAGAGAGAGGGGGAGGGAGGAGAGAGAGATGATGAGAGACAGGAAGGAAAATGAAGAGAAAAACAGAGAGACATTCTGAGAGAGACATAGGTGGAGACAGGAAATAGACAAAGCAGGTTCTCTGGTCCTCGGATTTTCGTAGGTGGGAAAGAAGGGGGGACCTGTGGAGGAGGCACGAGAGAGCCATCGACCGAAACAGCCGGCCTTTCTGTGCAGGGGTCCTTGTTCCCACCCACCCCCGCCCCATTTCAGAGCCTTGGTCTCCGCCACACCCTCCAATTCTGGCTTGCAGTTCCGGCCTCCTTGTCCCGTTCCATCTGCTTGTGCTGAGCAGCCGCCATGGTGGACGGCCTCTCCTCTCCCTTCCCGGGTCTCCTCCTACCTCCCCGCCTGCTCCTTCTTGGTCTTCTTTCACAGCTGCTCTTCCTCACACCCCTTAGATGAAGGTTCAAACACAGGGGCTCAGCCCGGGGCCATCTCCTTTTCTCCGTTTGCACATCGTTTGGTGATCTCACTGGCCGCTGCGGCTTCAGTTATCCCCTGTGCGCAGAGGGCTCCCAAGCCCGCGGCACCTCTCGCACTCTCTCCCCAGAAATCGAGCCCTGTGTTTCCACCTGCCTCTGACCTCTTCTCCTGCGTGGCCCCCAGGTCCCTAGAGCTCGGCCGGTCAGGGATTCATCATTCTCTGCCCTGGCCTCCACTCCTGACTCCTCTCTCTCTTTCAGAGGCCTCCAGGCCTTCGACAGTCTGGCTCCAGCCCAGCTTTCCGCCCTCACATCACCCTTCACAGACTCTCCACTTATAACATTACGGCTTATCGAGTCACAAAGGGACCTTAGAGGCCGTCTCCTTCAATCCACTCATTTTTCAGAGCAGGAAACTGAGGCCCAAGGAGTAGTCACACTGACAGCACCCACATTAGAAGGCATGTCCTCAGACTCCAAACCTATGGTGGTTTGGTTGTTTCACTCATGTCTGACTCTGAGACCCCATTTGGCAGGTACTGGAGCGATTTGCCATTTCCTCCTCCAGTTCATTTTACAGAGGAGGAAACTGAGACAAAGTGGGTTAAACTTGCTCAGGGTCACACAGCTAGTAAGTATCTAAGACCAGATTTGAACTCAGGCCTTCATGACTCCAGGCCTGCCTCTCCTTTTACTTCCAGAGGTAGAACATTTTACAGAGCTAGGATAACCAAACTGGAGACTCTCCATCTCCTTTCTCATTCTGCCCTTTCCTTCCTCCACACCTTTGCTCGTGCTGTCCCTTATGCCTAGAGCTCCTACTCCCCATCTCTACTGATTGGAAACCCTTCTTCTTCTTAGGGCCAGCTTCCTTGACTTGCTCTCTCCACATCCCAGGTAAAAACATTTTTTCTCTCCTCAAATTTTTCTGAGCACTTTGATTGGACCTCTCCTTTATCCTTATCTCCCATTCTCATTAATTGTCTTTATTTATGGGTTTGTACTCTGCCCTCTACCCCTCCCCCCATATTGTAAGCCTCTTGAGGGCAGGATGTATGTCATGGGCACCTCGGGTTGGAATCCCCGGGGTAGAAATCTTTATTAGGAAGCTTTTCCTTATGCTGAGTCAAAATCAGCCCCTCCGAAAGCTCCCCCATTGCTCCTGGTTCTGCCTGAGGTTGGGGGGCACCAAGTAAAACAAAGCTATTCTCTTCTCGGTGACAGGCCTCCGAGTTCTGGAAAACAGTCATCAGTTCCAAGTCCCCACCCACCTCCAAGTCTTCTTTTCTCCTTATTAAACAGGGTCTGTGCCTTCAGTCACACTTGGCATGGAATGCAAGAGCAGGAACAGAAAGGAGAGCACGGAAAAGAGAGAGAAGGGGAGAGGACAGAGAGGGTGAGAGCTGGGGAGAAGTGGAGGAGAGTAGGTAGAGGGAAGAAGAGGGGGAGAGGGAGAGAAGGGGAAAGGAGAGAGAGAAGTGGGGAGGAGAAAGGAGAGAAGACAAAGGGAGCAAAGGAAAAGGGGGCGAGGGTAAGGAAGAGATGGGGAGAAGAAGGGAGGGGGTAGAGCCGAGGAAGAGGAAGCTGAAGGGAAGGGGGTGAGGTGTTCCTACCAGCTCCAGTAGCCGTGGGGGTCTGGTACAAATTGCATGGTAAGCATTTCCTGATGAGTTCATCAAAACACAGGGGAGGACATTGCACACTGGACCCTCCAGATCCTCGCCCCATCATCCTTGACTGCTGGCCTGCAGCTGCTGCTACCCAGCTGGCCAGGAGGCTTTTGAAGGCGAGCTCTCTGGGACCCCAGGAAGGAGGGGGCGGGTTTGGGGGCAGCTTTCCCCTCCCTGGCCGGCTCTGCGCTTCAGAAATCACTACGCACCTCCTTGGTCCCAGTCCCAGCACGAACGTACCTGGGGCCCAAGGGCCCTGACTGGCTGGCCGGTCCCATACCTTCCTCAAGTCTCTGACTGCGTGGTGGCCCTCCCTGCCTCTCACAGTGCCAGCTTACTCAGTGTCACACTCTGAGGCCTCCTGCTCTATTCCCAAGGGCCCCTCACAATGGAGCCTAGCCTGTAGGGGTACCTCCAAGTGAACAAGCTACTTTGGTGGTGAGTGAGCTCCCCATCAGTGCAGGTGTTCAAGCATCATTTAGAAGGGTGAGCAGTTGGACCTGCTGATCAATGACAGATTTTTATGGAGAGAATCCCATCTCTGGGAGTCTGATCATCTAACCCCAAATAAGAACAAGGTGGGCAGTATAGATCCAGTGAGGCAGAGAGGGAGACAGAGAGAAAAACATAGAAAGAGGCTGAGAAAGAAACCCAGGGTCAGAGACTGACCCAGGCAAAAATGGGAAGAAAAAGAGAAACAAAAGTTCTTCAGTCCTGGAGATGGCTTGGCCAGAGATAGGGACTGTTAGAGCCAGAGTCAGAGCAGAGATAGAGACAGAGGCAGCGCAAAGCCCAGAAATGGGCTGACAGGAGCAGAAAGGCAGAGACAGGGGAAGAAACAGAGATAGAGACAGAGACGTGAAGAGAAACGGCAGAGACAAGAAACGGAAAGGCAGAGACAGAGACAGAGACAGGAACAGAGAAAGAAACAGAGACCGAGACGGCTTAGCTGACCTCCTCTGTTTCTCCTCCCAGCCGGCCTGGCCTCCCCACCCCCCAGCCACACCTGGGTCTCTGTTTGCCCCCCTCCATCCCCCCAGCCACAGTGTTACCCAATCTCCTTCCTTTGTGACAGAGACTTGTGGTCTACCCTGGCTCTTCTCCCTCAGCCCCCTCCACTGATTACATCCTCCTTCAACATCAGCTCTCCAAGCAAAGAATCCTTTTCTGGGTCCTTGACCCCTGGACCTTTCTGCAGCTTTCAACAGTTGACCATGCCCTAAATGCAGGGGTGATTAAAAGCCCAGCCAAGCCCCCATCTCTAAGGGGCATCTAGGGTCTCTGCCTTTGGTTTAAGAGATGCCGCTTTTTCCTGACATGCCTCCTACCCCCCTGACCGGTTCTTCTCTGTCTCTCTCCCTGGCTCCTCATCACAGGATCAGAAGGGACATTCTCTGGCTGGCCCCACCCTAAACGTGGGTGTCCCCCAAGGTTCTGGCCTCAGCCAGAGGCTCTCCTTCATTCCCACAGCAACAAGGCCATCTCCAAAGCTTGCCGAAATCTCTGCCTCCGACCCTCTAGTGAGCTCTCCCAGGAGCTCCAGTCTGGAATAATAAAAAGAATGAGCATTTCTGTAGGCTTTCAAGGTTGCAAAGTGATTTACAAAAATTATCTCTTTTGGAGCCTGACCACAACCCTGGGAGAGAGGGACTGTTATTATCCCCATTAGGGGATGTGGGTGTGCCCTCCACAATGCAGATCGCAGCCCAGACCTGACTGTCCATTCTGTCCTCCTAAGGAGTTAGTGCAGGGGGGCCTTGCAGTGTGCTGGGGCCCTCCGCAGGGCTGCGTGAATCAGACATCGTCACCTCCTATCCTCCAGCCCAGCCCAGCTGTCGAGTGGGCATAATAAATACATGTTAGGGCAATTACTTTTATTAAGCCTGGGCGCCCCTTCCAGGAGGACGTGCTGTCTGCCATGTGGCCCCCTCCCCCTTCCTTCTCTGACTCCCCTGGGAGGCTCCCCACCTCTTTCCTTGCTCACGGGCCATGACACAGGAAGGTGTGTAGGCGTCCTGTCCCTGAGTGGGTGGGTTAGTAATCCAGAAGTGGGTTTGAGTTGGTGGGGGTGGGTGTAGCTGTGAGGGCGTGGGGCCTGAGATGATTGAGGAGGTGATTTAGGAGGGAGGAGTCCAGAGGATGTGGTTGGAGGGGATGGAAGTCGAGCATGGACTGCTCACCCTCCCACTCCTCTCTGGCAGCCCCTGTAAGGAGGGTGAGAGAATCCTTCTCCCTGTTTGACAGGGGGAAAATTGAGGCCCTGGGCGGTCAGTAACTGCTACAAGGTCATCTATAGAACCAGCATTTATAGACTGCTTTATGGTTTTCAAAGCACTTTACGTACATGATCTTTGATTTCCATCACGGCCCTTCGAGGTAGGAAGATGCTGCGACTGCCCTCATTTCACAGAGAAGGAAACCGAGGCAGGCAGCAGTAAATGACTTGTACAGAGTCAGACAGCTAGTGAGCGACTGAAACAGAACTTCCTGACTCCAAATCCAGCTGTCTAAACACCATCCCACCCAGCTGAAGTTCGAGCTAGGAGCAAAGTACAAAGTCGGGTCTTCGTCTTTTAAGGGAGTGGCTGTCAAAGCCCTGCCCAAAACTCTCCAAGGCAATAGGCTCCTGGATGGAGAGCTGGGAGGGACCTCAGGGCTCATCTGGTCCAACCCCCTTGTTTACAGATGAGGAAACTGAGGCCTGAGGAGGGGAAGGTATTTGCCCAAAGTCAAGAAGGCTTTGGAAGAGCCAAGATTTGCACTCAGGTTCTTTGACTCCAAAACCGGCCTCGTGTCCCTGGTGCCAGACGTCCAGTCCCTTCACCGTGCAGATGAAGCAGCTGAGCCCCAGAGGGGTTAGGGGGTTTGCCTAAGGTCACGCAGCAAGGTGGGAGCAGAGCTACAACCAGCTCCCAGGCCTCTCCAGCTTATTTCAATCCAGTGCTTATGCCTTGACATCATATTGACTTCTGGAGAAGCTCAATGGCCCAGGACAGAAGAGACCCTGCTATCAGGATGGGCCCCACTGCCAGACAGGCTTAGTGAGAAATGATGTGAGTGACACGCTCCAAAGGAGACATCGAGAATTAAATATGGGGACAGGAAGAGGCATGGAGACACAGGAGAATGGCCATGAGGGCAGGGGGCAGGGCTTTAGAGTCACAGAGATAGCCACAGAGGCAGAGAGGAGACAGGAAGATGTACAGCTGCATCTGTCATCTGTCTATTTATCTATCCATCCATCCATCCATCCATCCATCCATCCATCCATCTATCTATCCATCTGTCTTCTATTTGTCCATCGATCTGTCTTTTATCCATCCATCCACCCATCTATCCATCCATCTACCCATCCATCCATCCATCCATCCATCCATCCATCCATCCATGTATCATCTGTCTATACATCCATATATCTGTCTGTCTATCTATCTATCTATCCATCATCTGTCCATTTCTGTGTCCATCAGTCTAGCTAGCCAGCCAGTGAGACCTATTGAGATAAGAGCCTGACCAAGACAGTAAGCAGCTCAGCATACCACCCCCTACTCCCCCTCCCCCCTCCCCCTGCCGGCAATCCACACACACACAGACACACACACACAGACACCAACACACAGACACACACACACACACACACAGACACCCACACACACACACACCCACCCCCCCCCCC